TCATCATGACTAGATAGACACGGTGAGTCTGTCTTTACTATACATGTTAGATGTGATCCACCTCATAGTAACAATCCTGTCAGATCGTCCATCCTTTGAGTGAGAGTGTAACGTTACAGGTCGGTCGATCTGGTTTCGTGGTTAAAGTTAACCTTTTCGATATGTTTCCCTGTTGTTGTTTCTCAGCAATGGCATGGACGTGATGTTGTCTGGGGTTTTGGCAAAAGGAGAGTGGGACGGTGGGTGGTGCTCGGGGTGGTGACTGAAGGCGGTGACTGTGTAGTTCTGACGTCAACTTTTTACGGAAGTCACAACGGTTCGTGAAAAATCACAGCTACTTTATGCAGGCTGTGTGCATTTTACTGTGGACTGACTGTTTTGAAACTTAGCCCCTAGACCTCAGTTATCGTGAAAAAAGCCAGGACATTTCAGTTTTGACAATATGGGACTTTCAATCAACAAACTTTAACATAATATTAACAAATAAGAATCAACTGCAGCTGCTGGAAATAAATGAACAAAATGTAAACTTTTAACATGTAGGAATAAAATCTAAATTTGTCTTTAGTATTTCAAACAACATTAACATCAACAAGGAGACAAAATCTGTAATATACTATGAACAAATTGTCAAAAATGTGCTTTGTGAAATTAACAACAAACAAGGATGAGCAAACCAAAATCATATTATTTATTATATATAATACAGAAAAACAATGCAAAAAATGAAATAAAATGTAATTTTAACATAGAAATAAAATATTTGTGTGTATTCTAGATAATTAAAAAATTTAATAAATTATTTTAAACAAATAGCTAAGTTTTGTCTGTTTAGTTGGCTAAGGCACCCATTAAGGCTAGGCTTTAGTAGTCTTTAATTTTGTAAATAAAACTATTGTTTTTCTGACAATAGCTATATTTCCATGTAGCGAATCAGCTCATGGGAAATATGAATAATTAACCATAACTAGTTATAATTAACTATTCATATTTTAGATCCACTGTAGATATTTAGCTGACCACTCAGGGTCAACCGTCTTGTCAATTCTAAGAACGTTAATTTCCTGGTTAAAGGAAATAACTTTCTTACTGTACAATTCTATAAGTTTGTAACGTAAATCTGCATGATTATTGACTCCGGTTATGAGTAAACAATGAACACGTCAAGTGTGATACAAGTAAGGTTTTATTAACTACATAAACACTTAAACTAGTCTAACATACTACATAAACACATTAAGCTGGTCTAACATACACATACACACACACACACACACACATACAGTTGGTATAGGAAAGGGTTAAAGTTTAACTCAGCATAGAAAGAGGCATAAAGAATGGATTTTATGGAACACTTTGCATGTATATTCAACACATCAAAGCCTTCAGGGATACGTCAGATTCTGAGTTCAAACACACCTTGTAGAAAGGTGTAACTGATACTTAATGCATCAATTAAATCGACTAAGTTTGATACTTGCACGTCTGTATGAACAAAGATTCCTGATGCGATCTTACGGCCCCAAGATCTTGCTGAAGTTGGCTGATGAGAAAGAACCAGTTTGAGTCAGAGTCACGTGATGAATGGAAAGGACTAGGCCGAAGAAAGGCCTGGCACAGATGCTTTGGTATCCTGAAGCGTTTCTCACATCTTCATCTTTGCTTCTGACTGAACCACCGACAGGGGCGGGTCACATGGAGTGTGGCCTTTAAAGCCTGCAGAGATTCACGCCTCTCAAGATGGGTTTGTCCAATGAGGAAGGCTGAAATCCCAAGCGGGAGGTTGGAAATACTGGGGAGTTTTATGACTCTTTGTCTGTAAGCATGGTATTTTGCATATGAAATTCACTTGGGTGTTGATGCAGAAATTAGTAATGATTCTTAGAACATACATATGTTGCAGAGGTATCAGCATGTAATATGCACTCTCAGTTAGATCATCCGAAGACGAATTCATAGATACTAGACATGGTAGAGTTACTTATATGAATGAGTGGTTTATCGTAAGCATGAATAAAAATAGTCTATAATACAACAGATTAAATACAACACAGCAATAATATACACAATGGCCTGAAGAAAATGGGTGTTCATTCAAAGAAGGTTTTCCTATGAATTAATTAGTAGAAAAGTCAGTTTCTCCTGTGCATTTGTGCCTTTCTTATGAGGAAAATGAGGGAGTTTATCCCCTGCATTCCTTTTAGGCCATAAAACCAGTGATATCAGCATTGGTTACCATGGAACCAGAGGCCTGTTCTGCCTTTCTGAGGTGTTAGGTGCATTTCGGGGGAAGGGTCCATAGACCCTCGTAATTGGCCATTTGGTTAGGTGATGGGGAGTTCGATATTATTTGTTAAATATAACAAAAAGTTGTGTGTCTGATTGGTCCAAATGCTACATCCATCACCTTGTTTTTATGTGCATTTTGAAATATCGCATCTGAAACGAGTGATGGAAACACCAAATTTCGAAAATAATCCCTTAATTCACAAAACTAATTATGCTCACTTGAGGTGGTTTTTGGCTTGTGCGAAAAGGGTTGATGCGAATAATGGTAGAAGGAAACACATTTACAGAATAAATTCCTCCATGCGCATCAAAAAAGTCATGTGACTTTTGTGCTATGAGATGGCATAACCTGACTAACCAGCGGACCGATCTTGTAGCACAGCATCTGAAATATTGTTATGGTTATTCTTAAATACCCAAGCACAGCCTGTCGTCAAAGTATTTCTGTATAATTGCCTCCCAGAACTGTTTTACATGACTGTGTTCCCAAACAACAGGCATCCAACTCCGAAAGCAATGACCACATTTATTGTGTTTCGTCTGCTCACTCTGAAGCGCAAGTAATTTATTAAATATAACAATTATTATATATAATTATACTTTTTTTGTAATATTTAGTGCCAGTTTATCAGTAAGTGACAATTTTGTTCTCTTTGACTCGTTGGATGGAAATGGTGCTTATTCTCAAATGTTTTACCCGATATTCCAATATTGCGCACAAGTTAAATTCACAGTTTGGATGGAAACCCGGCTATTATAATTATTGGTTCAGTTAGCTGGTCAGGGCCAGCTATCTCGTCAAACAACTTCTTGTTAAAAAGAACCCCTTCCCATAGGATTCTGCTGAAATGTGTTGGTGTCTCAATACTACAGGTGAACTGGTCTTGATGTAACATTGCATGTAGAGTCACCTCAGGCCTCTCGGCTCATCATAAAGTCATTAGCTGAAGTGTTGAGAGTGGGCAGCAGTCTGGCCAGCAGTAAGACACAATGTCAATGGGTCTTTTCTCTCTCTCGGCCTTGTTCTTTTTTTACCATCTCTCTCGCTCTCTCTCTACCCTCTACTAGACATATAATGATCATGGGGATGACTCAAATCCATCCAACCACATCCGTGAAACCCTCACCGTGACATACTGGTGCCGTCACTGTGCCTGTCATTAAGGCAGACACAGTTTCATTCATTCTGACAGAGCGCCTCCTGCTGTGAAGGATGACACTGAATGTGTGTGTGTGTGTGTGTATGTGTGTTGGGGGGCAGAATTAGCCCTGAGGAAACACAAACATCGGGGAGTGCTCTCACTGACAGCTGTCAGTTAGCGTGAGCTTCATCTCGGGACCCATGCAGCGTGACAGGACTGATCCTGCCACTGTCATCGTCCACCATGTCCGGCTAATGGGCAGAGACATGAGCTCTTTTTAGCAGCGGCGCTATAAGGCGAGTCAGAGCCTCAGTCATTTATCTGGGCTAATGAACTGTTCTAATAGCTGCGGGGACATTGCAGGACCACTTCCTGCGCCTGTACGTGGGGTATCACTGATGTGCACTGAGAGGATTGTGTCAAGTGGGGTTACAGGACTTCCGACGAGAATGTACGGAGAGCAGACTATCTGGAAATAGCATCTGCCCAGCTATATCCAGAATCAGTGTTACTTCGGTACACAAAAGCAGTGCAGACTGGAGAAGAGAGTGTTTATTTTTTTCTTTAATGCTGATACTGCTTCATTAAGAGTGTAACAAGTTAACAGGCCATATTGCAATTGTATGTTAGAAATAATTCTCTGCTTGTTTTAAAAAGTATTGGGTAGGGCTTTACATCAAGAACACAATAATATTAATGTCAATGATGATAAGCTCTGGACATTTTTACTCAGTACTGTAATGACTGTATCATTTTTTTATTCATTATTAATTTGTAATTATAGGGAATTAATGGTTATTACCACATTCAGGTTTTGCTAGAACTCGGGTCTGAATGTCCCAAGTCCACCTGGTTAAACCATTCCAAATTTGTTAGTTTTACTTCAAATCAAGGTCGTCCAGCGCCGGTGATTCTTAGTAATTTTTTTACAAATTTGATATGTGTCTTCCTGGCCACGGTCAACACATTAAATGATTATTTGTAATCTCTTAACAGAGGTAATTATTATACGTAAGCTACGAGCTAAGTGTTCGCGCTCACCAAGGTGCGAGCCAAACGTCTTGATCGGGTAAAACAAGCAAGCCCAAAAAAGCAACGAATCTGTGTTGCAGTGGGGTTTTGATTCGCGGCGTAAGTCCATCCCACTGGTCGCTGTTCCAATCAGATAGTGGCTGCGGGGTTTTGCCACGCCCTGTGGTGGTTGTTGGGTTTTGGTCATGCGGGAAGCTGGTGGTCGAAAATCATGGGATAGTCATGTGGCGTCACGCTG